ATATAATATATATATATATATATATATATATATATATATATATTAATTGATCTATTAATCGATATCTGATTATAAGATAAATGATATCTTTCGCAATACATCTATTTAGCTAACAGCTTTATAATTTTCTGATACTTAACGATGCTTTTATTTTAGATCTGCAATTCATTATTAACTATCATTAATTCTTTTTTTTTTTAAATATTCCGAGGGAAAAAAATTGTTTTGCATATACTAGAATCTATATTTCTCGTCGTGACGTGTCGAATCTGTCGTATGGATCGTTACTTAATTATTAATTTAAATTAGAATTCAGGGCAAATTGAATTTTCTTAATATTTCCTCTCAATTATTACTTACAGTTGTTATCTGTTTTAATTTCTATTATTTTAATAGTTTTTCTTGAAAAATTGCAACATACACGAGGCGTTTTTTTATCTTTTTTTCGCGACATTAAAAAAAATAAATATATTTTGGTGAACTGCAAAATTTATTGTACTCAGTGAGTACCGTACACTAGACCGTTAGAACCGGCTTAAAAAAGATCATTCCGGATGAATCATGTGACTGTATCCTTCGAGACGAGTGTGTGGGACGTCGCGACCGTTGTGCGGTCGCGCCCGTGCCGCACCGTGCTAAAAAAATGAGTCCCGAATATGGTCGAACGTTCGCAACTGGTTCTGTCAATATCCTGTCACCGTCGTCTTTTCTTTCGAGTAACGAATGCCTGCTGCTAATCTAAAAGATACTGGAGTTGACTGCTCGTTTTTATATCGGGCAAAATTCTAATATCTTTCTTAGTGCACCGCGTATATTACATTATTATTAAACTGACAGATTTTTTGCACAAAATAACATTTAGATATAAGATAAATGCATTGTTTTGCATAATTGAATGCTAATCTACGTTAATGCGAAAATTTGAAACTTTTCAGTTATATCATTGAATAATTAATTTCAACAGAATCACTCACGTTTTATCTTTTAAATATAAATACGGGAATTCAAAATATAACAATGAGTCTGAAACATTTCAAGGCCATCAAACAATCAAATTTACATAAATATGACTTGCAAGCTTCTCGAACAATAAAATGTCTAACTCAACCTCTGTGACATCTGATTTAGTCTGAAAACAGTTATAACGCTGTGTTTATTTATTTATATAAATTTCTATATGGAAACTTTCCAAAGTGTACTAATATTAAAAATTATTTTATTACATGTATGCATATTGTTTAATTATATATGTAATGTATTCATTAAAGTGTCATTATAAAAGATCTCTAGTATGTTCCGACATACTGTCAATTGAACAATTGTTCTCTAATTGTCGTCTACTTGAAAAGGCGAAGTACTATGAATAAAGAATAGCCTGAATAGCCTGACATTGAATGGCAATTCAAATACAAATAATCGTCAGATATATCTAATTATTCTCGAAATATTTAGAATGATTTAATTATTCTAAAAATCTTACTGCCATTTTATCGCTTTAACAATAAACGCTCCATCATTGCATCGGATCCGCGTTCTGTCGCAGAACTTCTGCGACGGCTGAAAATCGTCTGCTGGTGCGCATGCGTAGTTCTCATTCTTTAAGGTATATTCAGACAAACTTGCACAGCGCATAAGAATGTACATAAGAAACCGGATTGGTTCACGAGAAGACGCATTAGAAAATGGACCAATCAAATTCCTTATGCATATGCTGATGCGCTTATGCAGTTTATTGAATATATCTTTATCGCACAGCATTGCACGACGTAAAGTCGCGCGCGAGCACGGGTGTGTTGACGCATCGCGGAAGTTCACGCGAGTCTATTGCACACGTTCACGGGTGGATACGTTTGACGCGCCGATGGTGGTCGAACGTGGTTGAGGCTGAACACAAGAACATCGAGGATGACGATAGAGTACCAACATCCTGATGACGCGGCGGATGACGATGCCGAGGACCACAGGCTCCGTGCCGGGACCGACAGCTTCCCGAACATCAACGAGAGGCCCGTCGATGACATCTCCCTCGAGTTCTTCTACAAGCCGCACACGATCACCCTGCTGCTCATCTCTATCGTCACTGTCATATATTCAGCCTTCACCAGGTGATTTGACTCCTGACCCATTGATTCCCCTGACGTTTGGGACCCAGTGGTCTACACACACACACACACACATCACACACAAAAGCAGTTCATAACCTTTAATTTAGATCTCTTAATTTCTCTTAATTCTCATCGTTATTTTCCCTTGCAAAATGTTAAGGAGAAATTTGTTTCAATCAGAAGATGCACAATATTTTTAATTTGGATAATTTTGTGTATGCAATTATAGTATGCAATTTCTCAATAATGTCCTAATATTAAATAGATGATGCAACATGTATATACAAGATCTGAGTTTTTATATACAATGTCTTAACTTGATCACTTAAAGTATCTGAATTTTTTACTTTCAATGGCATGGAAAAAAAAGTAAGGATGAAGTAGTTTGAATTGAAAGGGCCAAGTATTTTAAGGAGCAATTTTTTAGTCATATAGTTATATTTTTCAGAGTTTTTCAAGGTTATCGACATTTCTTTTTAATATATGACATACTACTTATAACATACTTTTTTTACATGAATTTTTCAAGTCATATTGCATACAAAAATATTAAAGTAATGCCATCAGAAAATTACTTGCTTATGAGATATTTTACATTTTGATATATTCTGCAATAAAATGTAAAATATCTCTTGCAAGTATTTCCTTATGATGATTTTATCTTAATTTATATGTATAATTGTTACATGTAAGAGCAATTGATTGACAATTTGCATAATTCATGTGTAATTGCATTTCTTTTAATGCAACCATGTTTATTTCTTTAATATAAATAAATTTTCTTCATATTCTGCTACAAAAATATAGAGTTCAATTAAAATTTTACTGGAATTAAAAAATTGGTACAATTGTAACTTGCTTTTGTGTGTTATCATGTTTTATCATCAAGAGTGATGATTCACATGTTCAGTCATACGTTCATTATATTCTATTTAAAAAAATAAACATATCAGCATTGTGAAAGAACAATGTATGAGCGAGCATGCTCATACACATTGCGTTATTTTTCTTTCTTTCCAGAAGTTACACTCTTATTTCTTTATATATCTTGGTTTCAGAAACACCACCAATGTGGAGGAGAACATGTGGGCTGGCATGCTGTGCATCGTTTTCTTCTTCCTCATCATATCGGTCTTGACTTTTCCGAATGGACCGTTTACGAGGCCGCATCCAGTAGTGTGGCGGATAGTATTTGGCTGCAGCGTGCTCTATCTGATGGGGCTGTTATTCTTACTATTTCAAAATTATCAGACGGTCAGGCGAATCCTGGTGTGGGTAGATCCAGGCCTGGCATCCTTCCATATCGACATGGACAAGGAGTACGGCGTCAATTGCTCGGACGTCACCGTGGAAAAGATCTGGAATCACCTAGATGTGTTCGCGCTGGCTCATTTTCTCGGGTGGACCTTCAAAGCCGTCCTCATTCGCCATCTCGGCATCCTCTGGGCCATCAGCATCATGTGGGAAGTGACGGAGATCGCCTTCGCCCACCTGCTGCCGAATTTCATCGAGTGCTGGTGGGACGCGCTGATACTCGACGTTCTTGTGTGCAACGGACTGGGTATCTGGGTTGGCCTAAAGATCTGCTCCATATTGGAGATGAGGGAATACAAGTGAGAGCTCGATTGAAGTTTTAAGATCCAATTTCGAAGTTTTATCGCTTTTAATAGGAAATGCGTTATTTCCTCCTTGAATGATAATTTTATTTTTATCGTCTACAAAAGTTTTATTTCATGGAGTTTACTTCCAATTTTTTATTAGGGATCTTATTTCCATTTTATGTAAAGCCTTACTTCTATTTCTTTAAAGATATCTTAGTTTTATTTTATAGAATTTTAGAGGAAGAAGCTTATAGAAATTTTCATAAAAATATAAATTTTATACATACTAGGTTCTCTTTCTTACCAGGGTGCTGAATTTTGTCTGATTGTAGGTGGGTAAGCATTCGTGACATCGAAAGCACCACCGGAAAGCTGAAGAGAGCAGTGCTGCAGTTCACTCCTGGTAGTTGGACGTCCGTCAGATGGCTGGATCCGACGTGCACCAGTATGCGATTGGTTGCACTATGTCAGCTGGTGATATTCTGGCAAGTTTCCGAACTGAATACCTTCTTCCTCAAGCATGTCTACGAGTTTCCTCCGTCTCACCCCTTTGTCGTGGCCAGATTAGTGCTTATCGGTGTCATTGTCGCACCCTCAGTTAGGTGAGTAAATAAAGCGCGATTTACTTAAGTTGCACAAGATTAGACCTTAAAAGTTTAGAATTTTAGAAATTTAAATTTCTAGAAAGCATAAACAGTAAAGATCGAAATTCCGGGATTATTAAACCTTTATCATTTTATGAAAGATATATTATTAAATAATTATTTAATAATTATTCAATCAATTTTAAATCAATATAATCGACTATATCTTTAAATTTTGGTGTTTCTCAAGCTTTGAATTTAATTTTAAAATAAGGGATAACTTGATCTCACAAAATACTTCAGTGAAAATAAAAGAAAAATTTGTGAGTTTAAATTTGTAAGTTCAATCACATTATTAAAATTACAGGCAGTATTACATGTTCGTGACTGACCCGACGTGCAGTCGAGTGGGAACTCAATGTTGGGTCTACGGGGCAATCATGGTGACTGAAGCCTTATTGTGCATACGCCACGGCGCCGCCCTATTTGAGCGCACTCAGGCCCTCAATATTCTCCTTTGGCTCCTTTGCCAATCTCTAGTCTCCGTTCTCTGCGTGTACGGCTGCGTCTTGTGGACTCAGTATTTCGAGGTAAGCACAAACTCGCAGATTTTGCTTCACTAAACATCTCTTCAGAAATTCTAGGATTATGATCTAGAGAAAATATTGTCGTGATATTTTTACTACCGGAAAAGACAACAGGGAAGAAGATGAAAGATAACGTTGCATAATAATTTGAAGTAGAAATATCATGTAAATTTGTCTTTCTCCTTAGCGTAAGCTCGTTGTGACGTGTTTACCTAAAATGTAAGCGTCGTTCATGAATCGTTGATTAATTGTTAATAATTTGTGTAACTAACTCTTGTTGCTCCTTTCAAATGCATGGTCGCTGATTGCTGCAGACGGGAAAGAAAGCCACTTTAAGGCGGTCCGTCTCCCATATGGGCAACTTTGACACAGATGCAAGCGGTACGTGCTGATTGCTTGTACGAGACATAATTATTCGGCGCTTTGCAACGATCTACTGAGTTTGCGACACTTGATTAATCGCTCATTGTCACTGTGCCGTTGTTCATTATCCTGTTAATAACTTATCTGTGACCTGTTCGCTTATTGTTTATGTCTGTTCAACTTCGACTATTTAATTCGTTTTTATTAACGAACAATGAAGAAATTATTAATCACCCAAATAAATCGTAAAGTTATACAACGATTGAATCCTTGCATTCTGGAAATTTCGAATTTTAAGATTCGAGATACTTGAATTCTATTTTAGATTTTTGGAACCTTGAATTTCTGCATTTTTAGATTCCAAATTCTATTTTCAAATCTTTAAACTCTACGTTTCGAAATTCTCGGATCTTCACTTTTTCAAATTCTAAAATATCTGGGTTCTATCAGAAAATAATCAAAGATTATTTCTGGAAAGTCACTCTCGATAGAAAATCTTTTTATTTTAGTTTTTTAATTCTTTAAATCTTTTTTAATTTTTTTCCAAATCAAATGTCACAACTCAGTTATTGTAGAGACATTGTCGATGCGTGATTGTTCACGAGAGCTTGTGTGCATTGTTTCAGGGTTTGTGGTTCGCCGTACGAAATCTGTGGAGGAAGTGGACAAGAAGGCGCTGTGAAAGAGAAAATGTAAAGGACCGCTCGATGGTGAACTGTGAACGTTAATGACACTTTCTAGTCGAAGTCGCGCTAGTAGAAGTTCATAAGATGCGTGGAGATGTGTGCGTGCGAATCAATTGTGCATGACTGTCTCTCGGCTGTTGTGTGAGTGTCTCCGAGGCTATTGTTACTTTGTTCCTCAAAATAAAATGGAGACTGTTTTAAATGTCGCTTAAGTGGACCGCGGACGTCCCGATTCAGTTTAAGTTTGACGTAAGCCTCGCATGAAAATCGTTTATTGATTTATATTCATAAGCATAGTGTCCGTAAACATTGTTCCATTGTTCGCCTATTTGTTTCCTCTTAACGTTAGCTGTAACGTTACCTTGCAAACTACGTGCGTTTGCGAACGTGTTCATTGGAACGTTATTTTTAAAACTAAGACACATTAGATATATTTATTGCACATGAATAATATTCTCTGTACAAACCAAAGATTACAGAAACGAAACACACGTTCTTCGACTTTTTTTTTTCAAGTAAATGTAAAAAGAAAAAAACGCGATTTTATCGCGTCATTCAAGAGTGAAAGCGCGAAACGATACAAACAGAACAAACATATCCGAAACGATTCGTCTTTTTGATTCATATATTGCAGAAGATTATTGGCGAAGTAGAGTGAATTTCGTTTCTGTACTCGTCGCGCAATCGGCTTTCTGACAGCTTGCATTCTCGCTCGATCTTGAGCGAGTTGCCCGGCTAGATCGCAACGTCCGCGGATGCCCGTTCAGCATTTTTCGCGAACGGTCCTCACTCGGGCTTTGGAGTTGCGGACTCTTTGACGTTATATGTCGGGGTATACACTGCAGGTATTTTTGGGGTCGTACTGGTCCTTCTGGCAGTCCCACGCGCTGTCGACGAGCGTGTTTTTGAACATCGTGATGAAGATGAGAATGCGACTTGGCAGATCCTCACTCTCGTGCAGGTCGACATACGACGATGTTAGTGGCGTCCTCGTGCAATATGTCTGCAACCAGTAGAAGTGCGAAAACTTAACAAGTGACTCGATCACCTGGGGCGACTCGGCGACAGTCAGGGCATAGATTGTGCAGTTGAAATTACAGAAATAGACATACACGATCTCATCGATCGATAACTTAGCAAATTCATTAATTTTTCTGTGACACACAATCGACGCCCAGGATTCTCGAGAAGGCTGAGAATCCTTTCGAATCCTTGGACTTCGGAATCAACTGAACTTCAAATAATCGAGATAATTCTCTATGGATGTTAGAGAGATATTTGATACTCCGATTAAATCTTTATTCGAAGATCCGAAAACGCAAGTATTTTGGATGTAAATGAGAATTCTATAACGAATTGTTCAAAAACGCGAAGATTGGAAATTTACTGAACTATTGCTCAAGGTATCTGTAAGTCCAAGGAGTCCGCCAGAATGCCTCGAGAACCGAGGAGAGCCCCTCTAAGCGAAACTTCTGTGAGAACAGTACCTGAGCGTAGGCGAGATAGAATAATTTGTCGATGTGGAAGTTCATCCATGGGAGATCCTCTTCCTGCACTTTCGATCTCATACGATCCAAAGTATCGTAGGTTAATTTGAGTCCTGTCTTTTGAGACGACTGTTTGTTCACGGCCAACTGCGGGATCTACAATATTTACAAGTATCGGCGTTTTGTGTCTGCGAACAACTCAATAAATTACAACGATTCGCAAAAAGCACTTAATTTCAGGCTTTGTCGTACGATCTTTTTTTCAACTGTCTCGTCCGCATTGCTATTTATTGCACCTTGCAAAGTAGAAAAATTATACGTTCCATAGTTAAATACTTTTAGCTTCAATATTGGCTTACCGTAAGTGACACGTTTTGGTTGGTGGAAGGCAGTATAAAATTCATAAAACCGTTAAAAAAGTTTTCTTTTTGATCGGAAGTACAGTTTCGGAAGGTTTTGTTGGTGTTGAGGTCATCGAACAAAGATTTTGGATTCCTGGTTTGGTTCCAGTAGTATGAACCTAAAACAAGGAAATGATTCGACTGACCTGATCAAAGAACTTCAGGAAAAAAAAATGCTGTGATTCTGAAAGTGATTTATGATTTTAGGAATCAACGTCATATAATATGTTTCATACTATATAAATTTTTCGATGCAGAATAAAATTATTTACATGATTTTGATCAATAAAAAAATGTGATCAAATGTCATAAAAAATCATATTAAATTTTACTTGCAGAATGACACTGATGTTAATGGAAGTATTTCTATAGAAGAAGATGATGATAAATCGTATGACGTCACAGGAAATGGGGATATTCTGGCGAAGACTAAATTTGTTGGAAAAATGACATTTGGTTTTTTAGAAGTTGCATCGTAAAGCTGTTTTGGGGTTGTTAATCGCTCAGACGAAAAAAAGAAACGGAATCCAGAAAGGTGAGTACTCATTATAAAATTTGTATTACCTGGCTCATCGAAATGATTGGCAATCTGAAGAGCAATTGTATTTCCGAGCGTCGCCAACGAAATATAATTGAGAGAGTCTTCGTTATTTATTGCGGTCCAATCAATGATACCGTAAGGGATCACGATCTGATTTAAGCCGTAGATCGTTTTGATTTGCGACTGGAACGGCGTTGCGTAATACGTCCAACTGTAAATTTATTTAAATAGACTTTTTATTTATTAAGTAGAATTTATTAAAATAAATTAATTAGTAATAATTCAGATAATATTTGGAAACCTCTACTTTTACGAACTTCAGAATCTAAAAAGTTGAAAATAAATTTAAAAATATCGAAAGTCTAATAAATTATAAAATTGTAAAGTTAAAAATCTAAAATTATAAAACTCTAAAATCTAAGAAATTAAAAAATGTAGATGTTGAATTAATTAGTTAATCGTAGATTAATTATATGTATCTTACATTTGCTCTGATATCTTAAATTCTCTTCTTATTTCGGTGTACATCAAGGTTCTGTATCTTTTCATTAAATTTATTGAGTTATCGAAGTAATTTTTGGATAAATTCTGAAACTTGATTAATAATAATATAGTATCTATAACAATGATATGTTTAATGTATTTTAACAAAATAACAAATAATGATAAAGATTATTACTTGCGCCATATTATAATCGCTATATAGTAATTCTTTATTCTTGAAATAAGAAACAGGAGGCAATGCGAGCTCAAGACTGTCGGTTTTGTCCGATGCTTTCTTTCCATTTCCTTCGGGCAGTGTCACATTTATTTTCTTCTTTAGAGTTTGTTTTAACTCGTTGAACATATATGTCGTCTATTAAACAATATTACAAAATTATCAAAGAGTGAAAACAAAATATAAATCCAAAAACGAGCATTATTTACACTTGATACATTTCATTTATGATTAAGTTTACTTACTCTATTATTCATCCGCTCTATTTCGTGATCGGCAAAGGATGATAAATATAAATTAGTCGCTTCGGGTCGCAGGAGATAAGTAGCCACTCGCAGGCAATGAGCCTTTGCATTTTGTCTCGGCATAACTAACTGCGAAGAAGTTTATTTTATTATTTGACAGTAAATAATAATTTATTAGTGAAAATATTAAATATTGTGATAAAGCAATTTTTTTATTAATTAGTAATTTATGACATTTTTATTACATATATAAAATAGCTCGAAGCCGTCGCGCTTGTTGATGGAAAATAAATTTATTTTTATATTAAAATTATTCGTCTACAAAGAGATTTGAAAATGTACACTCATTTCAAATTAACGAATAATTTCAATATGAAAATAAATTTATTTTGCATCAACAACCGCGGCGGCACTGAGCTGTTTTATACATATAATTGATATTTATCGTAACGAGCCTGTCATGTCGATTTTACATATTTTTATATTTTTACGTTTATTATATTTGAATTGATTTTTATTGCGAATAATGTGTAATATTATTGTCAATTACTTCCTGATAAAGTTTGCGCGCGTATAACGCCATTATCGCGTTGTGAAGGTTCGTACAATTCCTTTCGGCGGATTCCTTCAATTTCTGCAAACCTTTGACCATTGAGTCGAGAAAATAAACTTGAATATCCTTATTGATTATCTTATCTGTATTGGTGAGTGACTCAATTAAGAGTGTCCAATTTATCTGGGAAAGAAAATTAAAAGGAAAGAAATAAGAAATTAGAAAGTGTACTTAAAGAATCAGGTATTTTGCTTTCGGAAATAAAAACACAAGTTTTATTTCCGAAAACAAAATATCTGATTTCAGAGAAATCATCACTTACAAACGCGCTATTATCCTTTTCGTGCAACTTTTTTAAACTAATACTTGTATAATTGTTCTCCAAATATGCTTTCCGGGCGTCGCTCTTGCTCGGGAAGTGCTAGAATTAATACGATATATTATTTTATTGAGATTCAAAAAGAAGTCTATGTCTATAGATTTAATTACCGAAAAGTATCCTTGCATTATAACAGAGTCGATTACGTTAATGGTCTTATTTATACGCTCCAATTCTAGATTGGTGTCATTCAAATTCTCAAAAACTTTAAGTATTACCAACGCATCTGAAACGGATTTTCTAATCTCATCTTTCTCGTCTTGCTTCTGCAAAAATAAAGAAATAATTATTTAGCTAATTACATTCGATTCTATTTTATTTATTTCTTAATATATTTTAGTTGTTGTTAACTTATATTTCTTGTGGTTAATCATAACATTTTATTTGTAAAAAAATTGAACTGAAAAATTCATTATTTAGCACAATTTGCATTATAAGAGATTATTTTACAAAAGAGAGAATAAAAGTTTGAATTAATTTTTTTGCAAATTGCTCAGTTAACTTGTAAAATTTTTTTATTTACATGAGAGAAATTAATTTTGATTTTTCTGATGTCAAAATGATTTTCAAGTGGGAGATTGAATATATATATATATTTTATACCTTACACGTCTTGTATCTACGATACAAAGCTTCGAAATCCACAAAAATCTTAAAATCGTTTTCAAAGCATGAATCTTCCTCATATTCTGTTTTGAAGGGACTCTCGTAGCTCGTGGGACCAATCTTCAGCGTAAAACTATTCGGATGATACTCGTCCACTTCCGGTACGACGTCGAATAGGAAAGCGCTACGAACAATCTTCATTTATGATATTTTATTCATGAATGGCGTATTTTCCAATAGTTACCTGTGATGTTGAATTAATTTGACGAACAAGTCGGTGAAATTTGCACTATCAGCAGAACACGTGTCATTGATATAAAATTTTCCTACTCTTTCCAACGCATCTCTTGCTGCAACGAGATAAATTAGTAGCGATGATGATTATTCTAAATAATTTTATCGTTTTTGTTTTGTATTAATATATAGATCTATATTCAAAATTGTTAATTGACCGTTATACACGTTTAACTGCCACAACTTACCCATTTTGATCCTTTCGCTGAGACTCACGGTTCTTTCATATTTCACGCAACTCTTGTAGTATATCGCGAAAGTCAAATTTTCCTTTATCATCTGTTCTGAAATCATTTATAGAACTGTAAGAAAATAACTTCAAAATGTTTAACAATTAATCTCAATAACTAATTAATTTTTTTTTTAGAGAAGTTATATCTTCTGATATCACATGCAATGGTTTAATAGTAATATCAGTAATGTAATAATTCATATAATTTTCCAATGATAATATAATAATTTTAATAAGTTCTTAACAGTAATATCGATATACTTACTCTCGATTCGCTCGTAATTACTGATTCTCCGAGCCTGATCCACGTCAATCAGCAGCGGATTCGTCTCGAAACCGCCGCAAGCATATTCATAGAAATCGTTGCAAGGATCAGCCGAGTCATTCATGTAGGATATCATCTTGCTGGCTATCTGCTTACAGTAGCTCGTATTGCAGATGTTATTTGTATTTTTGTCAGTAGTCGCCGTAGACGAGAAATTCCTTTCGTAGCTTATTGGAGCTATCGTGGTTGTTAACTTATTGAAAGAAGTCGAAGTCTCCGTTGTGCTGGTAATTACGTTAGTAGTGTATTTTTCGTTAGTTTCGTTCATGGTTGAAAACTTCTCATCCGAAAACGGAGTATAATTGTGTTGAGAATAACTGTCCCTTGTTGCATTCTCACGAGTTATTGCATCACTTGCTAAAGTAGTTTGCGATGTTTCATTTATGTCAGTAGAATTTCTATTATCATTGATATCAGTTACGCTACTCTGCATAGTCGACTCAACGTTTTTTTTCGAAGTTTGTTCAGTTGTCTTTGTTGTTGTGGTCTCAGCATCTTCTTCGCGTTCAGTTGAATTAAAATGAATTTCCTCGACAGAATGAGATTCGTTAATTGGTGTTTTTGATGAGCTTTCATTGATTTTGTTCATTGATGCACTTTCTACAGTGGATGCAGTTCTGTTTTGCGGTGAATACAGAATTGTCTCATTCGTTGTCTTATTCGTTGATAAATTTGTTATCTCTTCTGTGCGGTTTTCATGCTGTTTAGAATATTTAGCCTGACTCGGTGGTAGAGTTGTCGTAATTCCTGCAGTAGATTCAGTTCTCAAAGTTGTCTGATTCGTTGATGGAGTTTCACTTTTTGTATCCGATGCAGTTGGTGTATTCGAAGTTGTCTGATTCGTAAGTGGAGTTGTCGTAATTCCTGCAGTAGATTCAGTTCTCAAAGTTGTCTGACTCGTTGATGGAGTTTCACTTTTTGTATCGGATGCAGTTGGTGTATTCGGAGTCGTCTGATTCGTAAATGGAGTTGTCGTAATTCCTGCAGTAGATTTAGTTTTCAAAGTTGTCTGACTCGTTGATGGAGTTTCACTTTTTGTATCGGATGCAGTTGGTGTATTTGGAGTTGTCGTAATTTCTGCAGAAGATTCAGTTCTCAAAATTGTCTGTAAATCATAACATCACATAGTATTATTACTTAACCATTCCTGAAGTTCTAAGTATAAACCAATAATTAAAATAATTAAAAATAAGAAAGTGGTAATAATTACTGTTAGATTTATATAAAAAAATAAATTAATTAATGGGATTAATAAAGTAATTTTGATATCAAAAATTAAAAAAATTAAACTAATTATAAAAAATTGAATTCTGAAAGGAATTCGAGAATTTGATAATGGATCAAAGCCACATTCAAAAGGTCTATGAGTCTTTTTTTTTTGAAATTAAAAAATTAATTAATAATATTATTAGAGAAATTGTAGAGAGGATAAAAAATATTATAATTAATGTTAAAATTATTTATATTAATTTAATAGATTTAAATTTATTAATTGGAAGTTAATTGTAATATTTATTTATACTATATAAATATGTGTGTTGATAAAATTGTTTAAGAGTTAATATTTTTTAAAATCTTCATCAATAAATTGAAACATAAAGGAATAGTCAAATTCGTTGACGGAGTTGTCGGGTTTGTTGGAATTGTTGTTGTCTCTGTTATATTTCCTTTATTCATCTTAGAATATTAAGTGAACATATTAAAAAATATTAATTAAATATTAGCAAAGATTTAATAAATTAATTAAAAAGTAATAATGAACAAGCTACTCATTATTGACATAATACAAGAGGCATTTTAGGAAATATTTTATAAAATTTTAATATAATATTTTTTTGGTCACAATCACATATTTTTTTCGAAAACATAAGCGATCTGTTTCAGTTTCATGCTCATAAATTATCTATCGAAATTTTTTTATCCATACATGCTGGAAAAGAAGGTTTAAAAATGATTTTTTTCACATACAAATACATTTTGCAGTTTTTACCTGTGTCGTGTCAGCGACAGTAGACAGCTCCTTGTTTTTTCCTTGCGTTCCCCAAGGTATGCGTGCGAGGAGGAGGATGAGACTTAGGAAAATGAAAACGATCAGAATGATGAGGCAGCATCTGAACGATTGTTCTCGTTGAGCGGCCTTACGCTCGCGATAGATTTGGTACGTTTGGCGAAAGGGCATGGTTTCTTAATTAATTGACCTACGTCAATTTACACCTTTTCAATTGAATCACGTAGAAATGAACACAAAATACAAAACAGATCTTATATCATGAAATACGTGCAACGGACTGTATTACGTGCTCATGATTTCTTTCTTGCTTATGACTTAATCTCCCAAAGTCGCCGGTTTCGCTGGTATCGCTGACCGCTTCCTTCCGAGAGTTATCGCACGGGTTACGCACGTAACTTTCCAAAGCGATAGGAATTCTAAATTGATTTCACGTTTATAAATTTAGCTTATTTTTTTCCTTAATCTAGAACACTTGAGTTGTGATTAATTAGCGTCGAAAAAGTGTCAGTTAATTGCGATTCGAGCGTTAATTGCGATTCGAGCGTAAAAGAGGAAATTTTCAGGAATGGTTAAGTAATAATACTATGTGATGTTATGATTTACAGTCTCACACATGATACACATCTTTAAATCTTGATGTTTTCAAAGCTTTGAATTTAATTTTATTATACACTACGCACAAAAATGAGGGGAGCACTTTAAAATCTGCAAATTTTGTCGATTTTTAAGAGGCTGTATCTCAGCTTCCGGAGATCCGCAGGATAATTTTTCTGCGTGCGTTTTGAAGGGTGAAGCCTCGACTTTAAAATGGTTAAAGTGATATTTTCCGTCCCATCGAACTGCCTTTTTCATGAAGACTAAAAGCAGGTTGTGTTAGAGTCCTGGAAATTTCACGATTTTGCAACTTTCCACGAGCAAAGCAAGGACGGGGCGAAAAATGTCACTACATAACTTTTAAAGTCGGAAACTTTTCCTTTAAAATACCGCAAAAAAACATTGCTCTAACATGCTTAGGAGCTGAATTATCGGACTCCAAAGTAAACCCTGCATTTTGCAAGATTTTGATTAAATACCGTCGGCATTCGCGTTACTCGATGTGAACCACGAGGAGGTTGCTCGGTCGGAGCTTGCACATCATGGTGCGTGTGTGTGTGTGTCCGAACTCTGCGTAACACACACATGCACATACGCACGCGCGTGCAAGCTCCGATCGAGCAACCGCAAAATTATCCTGCGATCTCTGGAAGTTGAGATACAGCCTCTTAAAAATCGACAAAATTTGCAGGTTTTAAAGTGCTCCCCTAATTTTTGTGCGTAGTGTAGCAATTAAAAGATAACTTAATTTCATAAAGCATTTTGGCGAAAATAAAACGAAAATCTGTGAATTTAAATTCCTGACATCTTAAATCTTTACATCTTTGAATTCACGATTCTAAATTTTACTTTTAAACCTTTAAATTCTCTTTGTTTTAAATTCTAAAATATGTATAGCAAATTATAAATAAATTCAACATTGCAGGGATCTGTCGGAAATAATTAAAAATGAGAAGTCAATATCTTGATAAAATATTTTTATATTTCAAACTTTAATTCCATTTTTTTCATTGTTTTATTTTGATCGACATGAGTTTCGCATCGCAACATTCGCAGATATTTGTTTAGTCGCATTTTGTATGTTTTATTTTTGGGTTTTATTCTGGATTGTTCTGCGAGTTCGTGCAGTTCCACATCTTAGCAAAAGACTCATCGTTGGATTTAACGATAGCGATGCGATCGCGGTTCCGTAAGTTCTCGTTCTTGTTCTCGTATGGGGCGACGAAAGACGATGTCCGTGACTTTGAACAGTACGCCTGCAACCGACAAAAGTACAAAAAATTAACAAATGATCATCTGGGTGACGTCAGGGTTTCGATTGTGCAATTAAAATTACAAAGATTAGCATAATCGTTATAACATCCATGATCTCATCAATCAATAATTCAGTAAATTCGCTAATTTTCATGTGACACACAATCGATGCCCAGCACTCTCGAAAAGGCTGCGAATCCTTTCGAATCCATGGACCTCAGAATGAAATAATCGAGATAACTCTCTATGGATGTCAGAAATATTTAATGCTCCGATTAAATCTTTAATCGAGGATCCGAAAATGCAAATATTTTAGATACAAAAATATGATATGAGAATTCTATAACGAAATATTCAAAAAGCGCGAAGACTTGAAATTTACAAAACTATCTGAAAGTCCAAGGACCGCGCAAAGATTGTCAGAATGCCTCGAGAATCAAGAAGAGCTCTTCTAAATAAAACTTCTAACTAAATTACGAAAACATTTACCTGAGTATAGGCGAGATAGAATAATTGTTTGATGTCGAGCTTTACCGACGGCATCATGCTGTCTAAAGTTTCCTTGACTAATCTAAATTTTATTATTTCAGATGACTTTTTGTTCAGGATCAACTGCGGAATTAAAAATATTTACAAATATTAATATTTTGTCTTAATAAATAACAACAATTTGCAAAAAATACATTGCCTATTATTTCAGGTTTTGCCGTAGAGTTTTTTTTTCAATAATCTCGTCCGCGTTGTATTTATTGCACTTTGCAAAGCAAAAAATATATGCATTGCATAGTTAAATACTTTTAGTTTCAATATCAATCTACCTTGGAACACTCGGTTTGATTGGTGGAAGGCAATGGCTCGGTTGTTTCGAGGATCTTGATGTCGATGGAATTGTTTTTGAAAATCTCAAAGAGATGGGTATTTTCGGTTAGGTTCCAGTAGTCTGTGAAAGAATAATTAACTTGATTAAAAGACTTTAGTAAACGGTACTGGATGATTCTCAAACTGATTTATGAGACTTTAAAAATCTATATTATACAATAATTTTCTTGCTACAATTTTCCGGTGCAAAATAAAATCACTTGCACGATTTTGTAGTTTGAAGGGAAAGGGTAGTAAAATAAAGATTGTTAACATTCGTTGCAAAAGTTGCGTTACCCAGATTATCGAAAAGATGAACGATCTGATGAGCAATAAAATTTCCAAGCGTCGTCCGCACAACGTAATTAAAAGAGTCCTCGTTACTTGCTGAATGTAATTCGATCATACCATAAGGAATCGCGATCTGACTTAAGCAATAGATTATTTTGGCCTGCAACTGGAACGGCGTCGCGTAATACGTCCAACTGTAAATTTATTTAAATAAACTTTTTATTTATTAAATAGAATTTATTAAAATAAACTAATTAGTAATAATTCAGATAATATTTGAAAACTTCGACTTTTACGAACTTCAGAATCTAAAAAGTTGAAAATAAATTTAAAGATATCGAAAGTCTAATAAATTATAAAATTGTAAGGTTAAAAATATAAAATTATAAAACTCTGAAATCTAAGAAATTAAAAAATTAGATGTTAAATTAATTAGTTAATCGTAGATTAATTATATGTATCTTACATTTGCTCTGATCTTATCTTAAATTCTCTTCTTATTTCGGTGTACATCAAGGTTCTGTATCTTTTCATTAAATTTATCGAGTTATTGAAGTAATTTTTGGATAAATTCTGAAACTTGATTAATAATAATATAGTATCTATAACAACGATATGTTTAATGTATTTTAACAAAATAACAAATAATGATAAAGATTATTACTTGCGCCATATTATAATCGCTATATAGTAATTCTTTATTCTTGAAATAAGAAACAGGAGGCAATGCGAGCTCAAGACTGTCGGTTTTGTTCAATAATGTTTCCTTTCCATTTCCTTCGGGCAGTGTTACATTTATTTTCTTCTTTAGAGTTTGTTTTAACTCGTTGAACATATATGTCGTCTATTGAACAATATTACAAAATTATCAAAGAGTGAAAACAAAATATAAATCCAAAAACGAGCATTATTTACACTTGATACATTTCATTTATGATTAAGTTTACTTACTCTATTATTCATCCGCTCTATTTCGTGATCGGCAAAGGATGATAAATATAAATTAGTCGCTTCGGGTCGCAGGAGATAAGTAGCCACTCGCAGGCAATGAGCCTTTGCATTTTGTCTCGGCATAACTAACTGCGAAGAAGTTTATTTTATTATTCAATAGTAAATAATAATCTATTAGTAAAATATGAAATATTACACACACACGCGTGCGTGTGCGCGATAAAATAACTTTTTTTATTAATTACTAATTTATGATACATTTTTAAATTTTTATGTTTATTATATTTGGACTGATTTTTATGTTGTATTTGAATAATTATGGAGAAGCTTGTGTAATATTATCAATTACTTCCTGATAAAGTTTGCGCGCGTATAATGCCATTATCGCGTTGTTGAGGCCCGTACAATTCGTTTTGGAGAAATTAGCCAAACTTTGTGAACCTTTGGACAATTCTTTGTGAAAATAAACTTGGATATCCTTGTTAGTTTCGTTGTTTGTTTCTAGGAGCAAGTCAATTAATTGTGTCCAATTTACCTGCGAGAGAAAAGTAAAGCGAAGGACATAAAAGACAACTAGAAAGTGTAACGTAAAGAATCAGATTTTTGTTTTCGGAAATAAAAACAAAATTTTATTTTTACAAAAAAATCATAACTTACGAATGTGTTGTTGTTCTCGTTTTTCAACTCCGTTAAATTTATTCTTTTATAATGGTTTATCAGATATACTTCTTTGTTGTTGTTCTCAGACGAAAAGTTCTGCAGAATTATACGAGATATTATTTCATTGAAATTCAAACAAAAAGAAGTCTGTGTCTAGAGGTTTAATTACCGAAAAGTATGTTTGCATTATAACAGAGTCGATTACATTAATGATCTCATTTATACGTTCCGATTCTAAAGTGCTGTTATTCAAGTCCTTAAAAATATGAAGCTCTGTCAGCGCTTCTGAAATGGATCTCTTAATCTCATCGTTCCTGTCATTCTCCTGTAAAAATCGAAAATAATTATTCGCCCACTAACTGTACATTCGCCCATTAACTGTACATTCGATTCTATTTTATTAATTTCTATTTCTTGATATATTTTAATTGTTCTTTTTTTGCTCTTCTTAATAAAAGTTTATCCGCGAGAAAGTTAGTTGAACCGAATAAATTGTGGCACCAAGAGATTATTTTCTACAAAAAAGGGATAAAAGTTTGATTAAGTTGTTTTTTTTCCAAAACACACTCGCTCAGTCATTATTGATGGAAATTTTTTTATTCATGAGGATTAATTTCGATTTTTGCTATATTAACAACTTATAAATCGATCATTTGAGTGTCTTATACCTTGCGCTCCTTATTACTGCATAAGGGTTCGGGAGCCTCGTAATCGCTGTCCATCTCGAGATTGTTTCCGAAGTAGGAATTCATGAATTCTGTTTCGAACAAATTTTCATAGGTCGTAGGACTTATCTTTAGCGTGAAATTGTGTGATCCCTCCTCGTCTATTTCTGGTACGATGTCGAATAGAAAAGCACTGCAAACAATCCCCATTTGTGATATTTATCGATAAATGGCATGTTTTCCAATCATTACCTGTGATGCAGAATTAAATTGGCGAACAAGTTGGTGAAATTTGCACTATCAGCAGAACACGTGTTGTTGATATAAAATTGTCCTACTCTGTTCAACGCATCTCTTGCTGCAACGAGATAAATTAGTGGCAATAATGACTATTTTTTATAATTTTGGATAAATTTATATTCAAATCTGTTAACTGCCACAACTTACCCATTTTGATCCTTTCGCTGAAACTTACGGTTCTTTCATATTTCACGCAACTCCTGTAGTATATCGCGAAAGTCAAATTTTCCTTTATCATCTGTTCTGAAATCATTTATAGAACTGTAAGAAAATAACTTTAAAATGTTTAACAATTAATCTCAATAACTAATTAATTTTTTTTTTAGATAAGTTATGTCTTCTGATATCACATGCAATGGTTTAATAGTAATATCAGTAATGTAATAATTCATATAATTTTCCAATGATAATATAATAATTTTAATAATAAGTTCTTAACAGTAATATCGACATACTTACTCTCGATTCGTTGATAAATGTTGGTTCTTTGAACCAGATCGATGTCTGCCAACTGCAGATTTGCTTCGAAATTGCCGCAAGCATATTTGTAGAAATCATTGCAAGGATTGGCCGAGACATTCATGTAAAATGACATCTTGCTGGTTATCTGCGTATCGTATATCGTATTGCAAACGTTAATATTTTCATCAAGAAGTTTAATAGGCTTCATAAAATTCCTTTTGTTTTCGTCTATCGTGATTGGCATTATTGTGGTCGAAGCTATCGCGGTTGGAGTTATCGTAGTCGTTACAGGCTGAGAAACAGGAGTAGTGATTCCTGTTCCGCCGGAAGTTGTGGTTTTACTTTTCGGTTTTTCGGTAGTGTCCTCACTTTGCCTTTTAGGCGTTGTAGTTATGGCGATATTTGGTGATGGTGTCGTTTCCTACAAGATTAAATATTATCACAACTGTTTCAAAAAATAATTGTTTGTTGTAAAAATTAATGTCATACAAATGTGATATTTATTAATTATTTAAAACATAAAAGTTCTATGTAATTGTTACGGATATATCATATATATCATACGAATTATTAAAATCCTATAATTTTGTATTTATATACAAAATTAATTGTAAACTTTAATCGCAGGAAGTAAAAAAAAGTTTACATCAAATAATTTAGAAAAATTTTCAAAATGTTACGTTGTTTAAATAATTGTCTATTAATTAATAGACAGAAATAAATCAAATTACGATTATTAATTGATAGACAATTAAATATTAGCAAAAAATGTCGAATATGCATATGTATCAGTGTTTAGACATAATGAAGAATAAAAAAACAAAAGATACTTTTTAAATGAGAAATTCAGAAATTTGTTTCTAATAAAATTAATTAAAAAATGTTTCATTTGAGTGCAATAGAAAATAACTCGTAGTAAAATTATTAAGAATCAATCTAAATTGTCTTTCTCACATAATATATACATGATATATATCTCAGCTTATTATGAAATTTAATATTACACAACACACACACACACACACAATCCTTAATTCTGTTATATATAAACTTAATTTACTGACGTTTTTTAAATATTATTTCTGAATTTTATATTTATAAATGTTAAATAACTGTTTTGTTAATATATGACGTAAATTGTGTATAAAACATGTTCAATATTACCTGCAACGCTGATTCAGTATGCTGACTTGAGCATGCTTGCCGATGAGCACAGACAAGAGGATAATGCACACAAATACGGAAAGAAGTAGAACCACGAAGTAGCATCTGTATGATCGATACCATTGAGCTAATTTGTTTTGCTCGTGATTGTTGGTCTCGCGATTGTTGATCTCGCGCATTTGAAAATCGGACATGGTTCTTTAAGTAATTGAACTACGCGCAAGAAACAATTTCGCACCTTAATCAATTGAACAACGCACATCAAATTAAACAGAAATCAGAAAAGCTTCGATCTTATATAACATTTGCCCCCTTAAACTCCCAAAGTTGCGGTTTCGCTAACCGCTTCCTTCCGAATGTTATCGAACAACTTAATCACGTAACTTTCCAAAATGATAAGTTCTAGCGATAGAGTTCAAAATTAATCAGTATAAAGCAGCCAGAAATGGTTTTCGTGCATGCGCCAAATTTGGCTCCACTGGTATAAAGTAGTAGCTCCAAATTAATTATACAATATTTGCTGCTGCTTACGTTCTCTTTCTTAATTGTAAAACATTCAAGTTACAATTAATTAACGTCGAAGAAGCGTCGCTTAGGTATAAAAGGGAAAATCTTCAGGAACGGTTATAAAGTGAACTCTGGCTGTTTCAAAGAATTGATATTTCTTTCTCTTAAAAGTTACTTTACATTTTTCACATTTGTGACTTTTATGATTTATAGATTTATTATTTTGTAACAAATAAATTAAAAAGATGTCGCGCTGCCGAAACTTTCGCAGCAGCTGTGATATCGTGCGTACGCCTTACAATCTATCGTAAAAAAAATTTTTAATTTAAAGAACAAAAGCGTTCGAGGGATACCGGTTAATAATTGCGGCTATACGACGAATTGTCTTATAGAAGAATCGAAATCGAGACAACGACACCGAATATCATCGATGTGCACGTATATATGTATATGTTTATATATATGTATAAGTTACTTATACCAATAGAGCATTTATAATACAATTATCACAGATATGTAAACTACAAAATATCGTACGCGAATATAAAATGCAACTTGCACCTTCGCCGATGATCCCATTGCACATGCTACGACTCGTCTACATCCTAATTAATGTACAATTTAAATACGAATAAAAAATATATATATACGTATGTATGTATATATATACTATATATATGTATATGTATTGCAAAACTCTACTCGTTCGCGTGCGACGAGTAGAACTCCATGTTGCGTTTGAAATCGTCTTCAAAATCCAAAACCGGCGAATCCGATCGCTCGCTTAACTCGCCACTGGCCGCTGGTTCGACTGTCCTCGAGACGAGAGGAACGTTTCCCGTTTTCTTGCAAGATTCCGCGCCGAAATTATCAGACTTGAATGTTTCTGAGCCAATCTGCAACGAAATTATACGCTCTAATGCGACAAAAAGACGGAAGAAGGAAAAAATTCTGATATTTCAAAAAAGATCATATGCGATTTTAAACAGAAAACAATTAAATTAGAATCAACACCCTGTGGAACGAGAGAATGCAGTAGAAAAGTAGAAATCTGAAGGAAAAACATCGTAGCACACCAAGAAAGCTATAAAGAGCGACTTAAAATACAAATTACTTTTTTTTGCATTTCATCAGCCTTAAGTTTCTCCAACTTCTCTTTGTCAGCAAGCGGGACTGCAGTCTTTGATAGCGTTTGTCTTTTTGGGGTGGGCTTTCTCGGCTTGAACGATCCGGACGCTTTCTTCGGCAGCTGCGAGCTCGTGTGCTTCCTAGTCTCGCCCGATTGCTCGCAATTGTGGGTGACCAGCTGCTCTTTAGTCTTAAAAGCCTATAGTAGAATGACAATTAGCTATCGCGAAGCTCAAACAGATCGACGTCCCCCAACTAGACACTCACATGAGAACAAATATCGCACTTAAGACTGTGCTTATTCATTTCGTGATGCTTGAGGGCCTGCGCTCGATGGAAGTTGCGATTGCAGTGGCTGCAGCTGAACCGCTTGACGTTGCTGTGCGTCAGTAAATGCCGCTTGAGCTTGTCGGGCCGCGAGAACTCGCTCATGCAGCCCAGATAGCTGCGGAACGGGCACTTGAGCCTCTTCGTTAAGTCGTGGATCAGCATGTGCCGACCCAGCCGGTCTTTCCGCTTGAATCTGGCTGGGCAATGCTGCAAATTCGAATATGAAGTGCAAATACCTACGCAAATACTTCGACGCTACAACGAGCGGCATTACGGATTTATTTCAACCCGTCTACTGAAATTATTATTCAAATGAACGTACAGTTAAGTCAGTGATGTTAATATTTAAGAAAATTGCTCAACACATTGTGGTGGATGTGTAATAAATAATAATAAACACGACTGATTTCGAAACATAAATCTATCTTTCTAGAGACGTAATCGTCAACATAAATAAGTATTAATATTCTTTCATTATTTTCCCTGCGCCTTATTTACCGGACAGGTGAAAGGTGTCTCTTCGCTGTGTATCAGCTTGTGATTGGCCAAATATTGCTCTGTTTTAAAGGCCTTGCCGCAGTCCTCGCAGGCGAATCTCGCCGACGCCGAGTGGGTTTTGAGATGACGACGCAGGAACCTCTCGATGAGGAAGCTCTTGCCGCAGTGCAGACACGCGTAATCGTGCGTGGTGGTCTCCTGATGATGCTGCAGTGCCTCTAAGTTCGAGAACGATGACTTGCAGACCGAGCAGCAGTAGTACTTTTCCGTTGTCTTCTGCTTCTGGACGGAGTGAACGTACTGATGACGGCCGAGGTCCGACAGGGTGCTGAATACCTCGCCGCATACGTGACACCGGTACTCCGAGCACTTGTGGCTGCGTGTGTGCTCCAGAAACTCTTCCAATTCCGAAAACATCATGCTACAGCTGCTTTGCACGCATTTGTACACCTTTAACCCTAGGTGCGAGACAATCAGGTGGCCCTTCAGCGCTTTGTATGAATCGAACGTTTCTTTGCAGAATTGGCAGTGGTACGTGCGGTCGATACTTCCGTCCGGAGGCGCCTAAAAGACGTTTTAAAAGAAATTAATTGGGAAGAGCGGAAATCGGTGAATAAAAATTGAAACTTCCTTTAAAAAGCTTCTATCACAAGCAATTCATTTATACGAAAATGTATAAAACAAGCTTTAATTAGATTAGAAATTGTCTTACCTCCGGCGGTAACGAATGAATGGCGGTGCCGGGCCACACTTTGTGCGAGGACATGTGCTTTTTGACGTTTGACTTCTGTGCGAACGCACGACCACACACCACACACTGGTAAGGTTTCTCACCAGTGTGAGAGCGTTCGTGCTGCTGCCAGTAGAACTTCTTCGCAAATTGCTTGTTACAGTAGCCGCACTTGTACTGAAATAATGTGTACTTTAGTAATAAAAGCTTCGAAGAAAACTATTTGGAAATTTATTTGTCTACAATTGAATTTTGCAATTAAGTTTAATTAAATATCAGATAATCAAATTTATCGATAATTTTAATATCACAAAATTGAGGTTTTGTAAATTTTTATGTTTGTTTCAATTGAAAACAAAGAATCATCAATACACACCTTCAAGTTCTGCATCTGTCTTACACCGCTTTCCAATTCGTCGGGCGGATTATCCTGGAGGGATATCTCATTGTCCTCGGGGGAAGGTTCGTTGTCCTCCAAGGGTGGCTTATTGTCCGCCACGGACGGTTCGTTGTCCGTCAACGAGACGCTAGGATGCTCGGATTGACTCGAAATATCCTCCTGCGAACTGATGTCGTTTTGTAACTGTATCGCTGGCACCTCGCTCGAGTCTTCTCTCGTCGCTTCGATGGCGGCGCTGCCAAAAGTGTCTAGATTCTCCGTACTCAGAATAATCGGCACGCTAAATGTGGAGTCTGTTGTGAAGTAATTAGCGGCCTCTTGGTCCACGCTGTAACAAATTGAATCAATTAGCTCGGCAAAATGATCCATTTTCTACTAAAAAGCAACAGTAAAATATATGCAAGATATTATATAGAACATAAATCACAATTATTAATGATAACAACATACCTGAATAGCATATCTGCTTCTTCCAGAATGATGGGTTCCCCAAGCTGAAAGGTTTCCTGCGAATTGTACTGTGTTTCATCCTGAGTGGCATCCTCTACATGCATCACCTGACTCTCGTCATTTGTCAGGAACTGAGTCAGGTCCACGGTCTGCTGCTGTGCCTTCTGATGCGTCCTTTTGTGCAGCACAAACATCTGAAGCGACGTGAATTGACTCTTGCATTTGCCGCATTGGAATATATCTTCTTCATCTTGATCAATTGCTGACGAAGAAATTTATAACAGTATGATTAAAGAATATATTGTTCCATTAACATTATATGATAAAAACATGGATAAATATCGATTTTATACATATATGTAACGTACCTGATTGTTCCACTTCAGCTATCAAGTTCTGTGACTCCAGCAAGGATTGCACAGACGAGCCATCTAATGAAACATCTACAAAAACATTAAATAAGTAAGTAATAAATGTGAGCAATACCTTCTGAGATCACAGAGCAAAGTGTTTTAAGAAAATAAATGCAAATTTGTCATGTAAAATGCATTAAGCCAAAAGTTAAGAAATCAACAATAAATGACCCCTATTTCTAAGACTTCCCAAATTGACCTGAAAGCGCGAATCTAAATCCATAAATTGTCACGTACATCTGAAAGCGCCGAAAAGCGCGAGATATTCAAAGTGCAGAAGAAAAAGTAAAACTTGAGTGGCAAGTGAAGAGATGTGTTTTGAAGGTTGTTGACGTTTCCGAGATCGGAAATTAACCCCACCTATTTCGGTCAGCAAAAATGCGCTTTTTACCTGTCAGAGCGTCGAGAATAGATTGCGCCATGTCTCAGTTATCGCGATCAGCACGTCATTTTAACGGAGAAACGACGGGACATGATCTTAGCTCGTGCGAGTCAGCGAACGCAACGGAATCCTCCGAGATGAAAACATAACGACGACAACCACTCTCACATCTTTGTTGCTGCCGAGACGGCGCCAGTGCACTGATCGATACCTAACCTCAAAGCGCGACATCGCGCAACACAATAGTCTTGTAAAGACCTCTATTGATGTTACTCGGTAACTACACTCTGTTTTTGGAGAAACTACGAATCGTAGCCAATGATGTCAGATTTGAGACGCAATACAAGTGAATACAAGCAGCATGAGGAAGGAAATACCGCACACATGCACAAGTGCATGTAATCGTAGCGGTTTTTAGGTTAAGTAATTTTCTTTGATTGAGGTATACGATGAGTTTTTGAGATTGATAAAAAAGAATATTTTTACGTATAAAATGGCAGTATCTTTTTGTGGAAGAAGAATCATTTCAACCCAACGAAATTTTCTGAAAATTCCAAAGCGACATGGATATATAGTCTTGTAAGTCCATCTTTATTATTATGTATAGGTTAAGCTTAAAATTCACATTTTTTACAATTTTTATATTTTTGATTATTGTACGTTTCTTCACGCAGTATTTTGTATGCGTAATTTATACGACATTTTTTATATGTTTTTACACGGATTCTGTATTCTGATTATACATTTGTTTTGTTTAGAGTCCAAACTTAATACATGCTTTTATATTTGAATTGTATATTATTTTGTTATTTACTTAATATTTATATATTATACACAATATATGTCATAATATGTTAATGCATATTTAGTATAGAAATATATTTGTAACTAATATTTGCATTATTATATAAATATATTGATTCTCTTAATAAAATTATTCAAAGTATAATTATTTTGTACATTTCTTATTCTTTTTTATTTTTTATATATTTTCCAGTATTTGCTTGATTTTATTAGATAGTTTTTAATGAATTTGTCATTTGTTTTTATATATGTTTTTACATTTTTATATATCTTACATAATTTTGTTTTATGTCAAGACTTCCAGAAATAGGCGAAGAATCAACAGAGAAAAATCCTTTGTTGAAAGACGATAACTTGCCAGAATTTAACACATTTACAATTGAAAAATGTATAGCAGCTATTGGAAGACAAACTGTAGATTTAGAGGAGAAAATAAAGAATCTAGAAAGAGAGTTAGAAAGTAGGTATAAAATGTCAAACTGAAAATAGAGTATAATTTGTTAAAAATTAGAATTAAAGAATATTTTACTGAGAATATTATTTAAACAAAATTCATCTTTTTTATATCCTATTGCAATATTAATTTTCATAATTTCTTGCAGCAAAAAAGAATTTAGATGTTCTTAACGATTGGCTGCATCCAATTGAGGAAACATATCTTCCTCTAGAGACTACTTGGGGTATTGCTAAGACCTTGTACTTCAGCAATCAGAGTTTAATGCCAACAAAATATTACATGAGCATTCATGAACGTGCCACAAGAGCTATTGCTAGCAAATTCGGCAGTGCGCCTCTCTTCAGAGCATGCAAGGAAGCCCTAGATAATGACATTAAACTGACACATTTGCAGAAGAGATTGCTGACAAAATACGTGCTAGAGGGAACCTTGAATGGTTTACATTTGCAGGAGAAGGAATTAGAGAAATACATGGATGACTTGAACGTCATCTTACTGAAAATCAAAGAGTACAAGTCCAAATACGAGGTTTGTCATACGATCTAAGATAGATTTATAATTATCATGATAAATGTTAAAGATTCTTTTTTTTATTTCATCGTAAAAAAAGAAATATTGCTATCAATATTCTATTTTTTTCATTACCTAGCGCATTGATTTTTTATTTACGATTTGTACATACATCTTAGAAAAAATATTGTAGCTGATTTGAATTGTACTTTCAGGGTTCCACACGCGTTTATAATATGACAATACAAAGCAAAGAAGTTATAGAAGATTTTCCAAAAGACTTTCTTAAGTCTATCGCAGCTGATCCCAGGCAACCCTATGCAGGTCCTTGGACAATCAATTTAAAGCCATACATCCTGACACCATTCATGGGTACGCATTCTCTATATTTCTATTAAAAACTTACATATTACATATTAATATAAAAAAATTCTACTTGTTTGATTTATATCAGAGTATTGTCCTGATCGCGAACTAAGGGCGGCGGTCTGGGACGCTGACGTTACTCGGTGCTCTATTTACCAGGAAAGATCCGTTCAAGCTAGTGTGACATTGGAAGAACTTCGGTCCAAGAGGATCGAGCAGGCGCAACGTCTGGGATACAAGAATTTCGCAGAAATGAGCATGGAGACAAAAATGGCCGGCAATCTGGAGAATCTAATGAATATGCTGGAAACTCTTCGAAGCACTGGTAATCATTTAATTTATAATATGAGAAAATAAGTTAGTACAGCATTTGTGATAACTGATTCGTTAAACAAAATAATTAGAAATCACACACAGACATACCATTAATTTAGTCAAATTATTATGCAGTTTTATTAATGCTATATAATATTAATAATAGATTTATTATTGATGACATTAATCGATTAATTAATAAAATGTAATGTTCCTTTAAAGCGCTACCTGCTCAGGAACAGGAGATTGCAAGTTTAACTGAGTTCGCAAAGGAAAGAGGCTTTGATGGTGATAAACTAAGAATATGGGATGTACCGTATTGGGGCAGGAAACAATGTCGCAGCATATACAAGTAAATTAAACTTAGCGTAGATTTAAAACTGTATCTAAATCAACGAAGCTCATTCAACTTTACACTTGCTCAGCTGCGACGAGAGCGAGTGGAGATCTTACTTCCCTCTGCCGACCGTTTTGTCAGGCCTCTTCGAGCACATCGAGACGCTCTTCAACGTGAAGATCGTCGAAAGCAAGAAGGCGGACATCTGGCATAGGGACGTCCGATTTTTTGACATATTTGACCTAAACGGATCTAGCGCAGAACCCATCGCAAACTTTTATCTGGACCCGTACGCCAGGGACTCAGAGAAGTTCCGCAAAGAGCAGAACTCCGGCTGGGTGTCCACCATCAAGAGCAAGAGCAAAATCGACAACAGCACTCCGTTGATCGCTTTGATCTTTAACTTCCCGCCGCCGGTGGGCGACAAACCTTCTCTGCTCTCGTTCAAAGACGTTCAGATTCTTTTCCAGAAGGTAGTGGACTTTGTGCCATATTAGATTTTATTAAATTATCGATTAGTATCAGATAATAGATCTATTTGTAATATTATACAATAATATACATTAAAAGTTATATGTTATATTATTAAAAGTGATGAAATTATCTCTTTTGATGTCTGCGCGCAGTTCGGACACGCCTTGCAAAATTTACTCACCACAGTCGAATACTCGGATGTCGGTGGGCTGTCGTTCGTGGAGTGGGATGCGGTGTTCATCTGCGACTTCTTCATGGAGAATTGGTACAATATGAAGTTATAACATTTTTATTCCACTCACTCGATTGCTTATTTTGCGTTTCTAGCATATTTTGATTACAATTGTTTTGTAATATTTAATCGCCTTTAATAAAAACTAATATATGAAATGTGATTAATAATTTAGATATGTTTGATCGACAGGTTATACGAGCCATTTGTGTTGCAAAAGATTTCCCAACACTATGAAACGAAACAGCCATTGTCTGCGGAGACTATGGAGAGCATTAAAAAGATGAGGTCACATTTGGCTGGCTACAAGTTGTGTAAAGAGCTTTATCTGTCACATTTGGATCTGGAGCTGCATTCCAGGTCAGTATCAAATTTTTAATTAAAAATTCTGAATTCTTAAATTATTTCAGAGAAACAATTTAATTAATTGAATAACTCCAGTTATGTCTTAATACTTAAAAGACATAAAATATCTGAATTTTCGCGCAACATAATAATTTTCAATTCTGAAATAGTGTCATACTTTGTGCCATGTGTTATTTAATCACTGGAAAAATTTGCAGTAATACATTTTGGGTGCCGATGATGAAAAAACTGTGGCCGCAGTATTTTATGTTACCCCTTGAGAAAAGGGACGTTCACGTCTGTTCCTTTGAGGCCATATGGAGCGGCAATTGGGCGGCCGCATATTTCAGGTGCGTGGATCTTCGCAAATCCACTATTTGCGTAATCAAAAATTGTCAAATCGACTTTCCCGCGAGACAATAAGTTCATAATTTACTTCTAATTTTTAATTAGTTTAATTAAATGTCTTATCTCGATTCATGTGTTTTTTACTTACGCTATCTTTATTCAAATTATTATTAAAATACAAAATAGATTTATCTTTACTGAATATTTAATGATTATATTTATTTACCAAGTGAAAATGTCGATTGCAGCAAGATCTGGTCGCAGATGATTGCCGCCGATTTGTACACGGCGTTTCAAGAGATCCAATCCGATAACAAGTCGCACCAGAAGGAGATGGGCGCGAGATTCCGCAACACGTTCCTGTCCTTAGGCGGCAGTTATCCTGCCGCCGAGGTGTTTAGGAAATTTCGAGGAAGGGATCCAAGCCCGCAAGCATTGCTGGACAATCTCGAGTTAACGCAAACAAAGAAAGCCAAGTAACGCGATTGTGTGATCAAATGTCTTGCTATTTCTTAGCAGCACGAAACGTTAATAATAAATTTTGTATAGTTATCTCAAAGAGAGTTTAATTGATGTAAAGCCAATTATGCAATAAATTGTTACTTGTAAGATACTATACACATCCGAATTTTCTTACTTACGAATGTTATTTTTACCCACCTATATCCTTTATCACCAAAAATCTATATTTGAGTAAATTACTTTACTTATTTATGACTTGGTGAACACTTGAGATGATTCACACTTAATATTTTTGATGCGAATGTGACGTAACTTTTTTTCTGGTTAGAACTTAAATGGAAAGTTTTGCGTCATCGGTGCACGTGGCACGCAATGTGTTAATATTACTACTCGTATTTTATAAATAATCTATTACAATATAAAAGAATTACATTAAAGTTTAAAAAATCTTATTCAATAAAATAATATACACATATATACAGCAATAAAAAACCACCTTAGGAAACTGTTCGAGTATAAGCCGAGGATTCAAGTAATACAAGTCGCTAATTAATCAAACATCTTATCTCGTTTTCAATTGATTCTGGTGGCTTCGATTAGAATAATTTTACAACTCCTACGATTGTTAGTATTCATTTGAGATTTGGTACATTCAAAATTTAGAACGATTCAAGAAACAGACAAAGTTTCTTTAAAGTTCAAAGAGGTACATTTTTAAACACAATATGTAATAATTAAAGATTTCGAAATTCACATAATAAATAATTGTTGCATTCCATATAAATTTTATACCTGGAAAACTCTTTGAAATCGCTTTGAAATATGATAAGATAAGATAACAAAATCGATAAACTAGACAAATACGTTTCTAAAAAAGTGTTATCTGCTTTTCCTTTCCTTCTTTTACAGATATTTGCAATTTCCTGAATTATTCAGACCCAATTTACTTTTATAATTTCTACAAAATACTTATTGTGACAGTAGATTACGTATCTACTTATGTATATAAATAATTTATTAGTAAATTATTAGATAACGTTTTTTGGCTAAAAATATTATTTTATATTTATTAAAAATATTTGCATATAGTAAAGTGCAAGTTTAACATGTTCAAATATTTTTAATAAATATAATAACTTTTCTCGCCAAAAATATTATCCACTGTTAAAAACGAATATTTAATAATAAAAAAACGCAATTTTCAAACACGAGACCTTCAATATTTTATCCACACTCGCCTTACTCATTTTATACATAGGACGTACATAGAATGTCCTAATGTTTATTGGGAAACGAATATGGAAAAAGGAGAAAAAAACAGTATTCAAACACAAAACATTTTACCTTCTACATTTTAATCATTTACTTTACTCCGTTTAGCCATGCTTGCTGCTTACAATTAGTATTTACTTCTATCGCCTCGAAGGATTACATAAAACTTTTAATTATTTCTTTTAAACTACTGCATATCTTTCGAATCGACAAAGCTAAATGCTAAGTAGCGTGGCTAAACGGAGTAAAGTGAATGATTAAAATGTTGAAGGTGAAATGTTTTGTGTTTGAAAACTGTTTATTTTTCCTTTTTCCATATTCATTTGCCAATAAACATTAGAACATTCTATGTACGTCCTATGTATATACATATATGTATATTGTATATTATATATTGTATATGTATATACAAAGAATGTGAAAAGTATATAAAGCGCATATCCTATGTATGTGAAATAATTACCACATGTATGTACATAGGATGTCCATAGTACATACATAAGTATATTCCAAAGATATGCAGTGTACATTCGTGGTATATACATGGGGTGTATTCCGAGGATGTGCAATGCATGTTCGCAGTATGTACATAGGATATATTCCGAGGATGTGCAATACACATTCGTGGCATGTACGTGAGGTACATTCTATGTATGTACATAATATATACAGTACGTTTTTTAATAATAAACAATTTTTATTTATTCGGATATTTATCTACCCAATTTTTGAACAATTAGTTTATCTAAATTTCCTGTGTTGGAATTCAGATATTAAACTGATAGAAAAAGTTATTACATCTTCAAATTGAAGACTTCAATATTATTACCCGCCTTTTGCAAGTTTTATATAGTTTTCATGATTAAAACTTAATACTACTAACTAAATACGAGATAAATAGCGCCTAATGTGTCACATAACAGCAAGTGAACGAACTAATGACTGATTCTATGTATATCCATACGATATCCTATGTATATCCATAAATGTATCTACATCAGCGTATATCGTAAGTTAGTACGTTACATGTATATACATGGAATGTACACGAGGTATATTCTATGTATATACAGGCAGCGATCTCGTTCGAATATACATTGTATGTATATCCATACGATATCCTATGTATATCCATAAATGTATCTACCTCAGCATATATCGTATGTATATAAGTTTGATGTATATACAGGGTGTCCCAAAGTTCGCGGCCCAACCGTCGTGTACAGATAGAGCGGGTCAAACTGAATAAGTAAGTCCTTTACCACTTTGCAAAATTTTCAATAATTAATTAGAAAATAATTAATAAAGATCCGCCAATCCGCGCAAGTATTCCCCGAGCGCCGAGCGCGCGGCGAGTAGGACCCACCCAGCATAGCATAATACAAGCGCTCGTGTGTAGTGTGCATAGCTAGCCAAAAGAGCGT